GTGTGGGTTTTATTGGCTATGATGTCAGAGCAGTCTTTACCTGCAGGGACCAGCCTGGGTGGCAGCCAAGCTGGCTTTGTCGGAGTGTTTTCCAACCCCCGACAGAAAGGTGGCCGTCGAGCGGGTGCAGCTCTGACCACTTCGGCTGAGGTGCCTCTTTGTCTGACGTGATTCCGGTGCCAGGGACGGAGACCACACGCTCATTTCATGGATGTCATGCACTGTCAGCTGTGGTTCACTCAGCATCCAAGACGTTATGAACTGGGCTCTTCAGGGAGCCCGCATGGTGTACTGGTAATGAACGTGGTCTCTAGAGCCAGGCGTCCTGCATCTGAACCTGGCTTTGCCACTGACCAGCCTGGTCAGAAGTACCTTCTCTGTACTTCATTTTCCTCCTCTGGAGAAGGTGGATAATGGCACCTGTAAAGTGTTTAGTATATAAGAAGTACTTGGCTAAGTGTGAGTTGCTGTAATTACTACATGCTACATGGGTAGGGTGGTCTGATGGTAGGTTTTCCAGTTTGGGAAAGTAATGTGGGCTTCCTCCTGTGTGGGTGCTGAGTATAGCCAGGAGAGCTGTCTTCTCGAATCCATCCTTGATGTTCTCTACTCCCCTGCCAGTACCTGCTCGCTCCATCTTTTACCTTTGCTCCCTGCTGGGGATGTGTAGCTGGAATCAGTAGATGAGGGTCTGTGGCCTGACTCGGCCACGTGCTGCTGTGTGAGCTTAGACAAGGTGCTGAACCCCTCTCTGAGCAGGCGTGGAGGATTTGGGACGCCTTTGGGCTGCCGGGTATCTTGTAAAGCTGGAGTAATTGTGCATTCTGTCTTCCTGAGGTGATCAAGGAAGGAACACTTGTTGGGAATAGCTGGTGATCTCCTCTGGAAGCTAAGACTTACCTGATTGTCCCTGTGAATGAAAAAGAATCCTCCCTCCCGTCCAGGGGGGTGTGTGTTGGGAAAAGCACAGGGCGGGGTGGGGGAGGAGCCAGAAGACTGGGGTCCACTGGTGCCAGACCAGCTGCGCAGGACCCAGCAGAGTAGGAGCCAAAAAAAGATGGAGCTTCCCTCCTGCTTGGTCTCGCGGGACTGAGTGCACTCGGGGTTTCTGTTCCTGTTGTCTTCATGGTGACCCTGTATTCCTGGAGTTGTGCAGTGAGCAGAGCCGTCTTACTTTAAGTGCTGACAGTAGTCACAGCATGAACACCCATCCCTGTTGACCTCTGTTTCTCAGCTTCCTGTCTTGGCAAATAAAAATCTTGGACCAAATGAACTTTTGGCTTTCATATGATACAAAGGTATACAGATACGCACCGTCTGTCGCCTGGTTCTTCTTCGTAGCACCTGACGCAGTGTTTTTAGATTTTGCTTTGGGCTTTTTGCTCTGTTTTTTACATACTTCTTTTGTTTCATCCCTGTTTTCAGGCACCTAGAAAGGAAGCTGCTGTGTACAAGGACAGCAGCACTAGATCACGTTTGGCACATTGTAGGTGTTAATGAGTATACGCATATGCCCACATTGACACCTGTAACCAGGCGTTATAATATAGTTTCATAAACTTGTCTGTAGAAACTAAGTGATCAATTATTCTTTCTTTCCTCACATACTTCCCTCCCCAATATACAGCACATTGTTATTTGGAGACTAGAAGACTACAATTAAGAATGGTTATATAGGGAGTTGGGGATTGGTATGTGTACACTGCTGTATTTAAAATGTGTAACCAACAAGGACCTGCTGTGTAGCGCAGGGAACTCTGCTCAGTATTCTGTAATGACCTGGGTGGGAAAAGAGTTTGGAAAAGAAGAGATACATGTGTATATGTAACTGACTCAGTTTGCTGGACACCTGAAGCTGAGATAACATCATTCATCAAAAAAAAAAAAATCATTCATCAACTGTGCTCCAATATAAAATAAAAAATAAAAGCAAACCCAAGGGCAGTTGGGGAAGCAGTGGTTATATTTTCTGTCTTAAAACTTACACAAAGTAGCAGTGCCCAGGTTCTCAGTTTGTGTGTGCAGGTAGTCTCAAGGGACAGTAACTCCTGACGTCAGAGGAAGCTCACAGTTCAGGGCTGAGGACACTTGATTGGGAGGCGCTGTGCTGTGCGTCTGCGGTGTCGGTGGGATCCTTTCATACACACAGTGGAGGTGGTCAGCAGGAGGCAAACTCTAAACCGTAGAACTGTGCTCGCTCCTATTATTGAGATTTCATATTGCTTTTATTATTTGGCCACAAAAATGGACATAATCCTTACTGGCTTTAACACACCTACTAGTGCTGCTTTCGCTATCCATCCTGCAAAATATAAGACAAGGCCAGAGCTTAAATTAAAATCCTCAGCTTCTTATCTCCTTCCCACAGGAAAGCAAATCTGTGTTGAAAACCGTAAAATTAAGAGGAGAGCAAGGATAGCATAATTTAGCAAAAATTCATGGCACCAGATTCTGAGCTATATGACTGGAGGGATAGGTCAGACATTAAGAAGATGCTGCCTGCTAATGCAGGTTCCTTAAGGTGGTGCTCTGAAAATAAGAAAGGCACATAAAATGTATGTGTGTGTGTGTATAAATATATATATTAAATATATATATAAATATATATATATGTATATTTGCAGAAGATTTCTGCAATGCTTTACTCTTTTTAACCACCCTAAGAAAATATCTTTGTAGATCATTTGGCAATTATGCTTCTTATGAGACTTCTGAAAGGAAACTAGAAACAGTTATTCTCAAGTATAGTTGAAATCATTCATTTTAGCATTTGAGTGTTGAGATTTTTGCTTCCCTATTTAAAAGGGTTTATAATAATAATATCCTCACACCTACCCACCCCCTACTTCCTCTAGCATTATAAATTCCTAATATTTGAGAAGCTCATTCTGTGTACTGGGCACACTGTATCATTAACACTTGAAGAGCATTGAAACATTTTCTCTAACCTTTTACACATTTATATGCATAGACGTCTGTGCAGAGGTGTGTGGAGAAAAGGCGTGTGGCTTTGATAATGGTGCTCCACTTAATAAACGCCAAGGGCTATAGGAGCTGTGCGAGTTCCGCTGTTAGAGGGGAGCTGCTAATTATAAAATAGGGGAAATCTAGCAAGGATAGCATATCATTGTCTAAAAAAGTTATTTTTTACCCCCCTCACTTTTTTAAATTTCGTAAGTTTCTTTGGGTGGAGGTTGTAATGATAGGGTGTAGAGAATTACTAACTTTACAGAGAATTAAGTGTTACTGGATAATTACTCTTAATTTTCCTGAAGATGGTTCTTCCTGTTGGAACCACGTACTTTTTATACCTAATTTGTAAAACAACAACAACAAGAAAAAGTGACATTATCAGTGTATGTAATAGGTGCAGCCATCATGCACAGTTGTTTCATGGGTTCTCAGCCATTCAGATTTGTCCCTACACTTTAAGCAGTTTATACTGTGTACTTTTCAGAGACTCGCACACAAAAATTTTAATAATATATTCTTTTCTGGAGAAAGTGATTTCACGTGTATTTTAGTCTGTAGAATAGTAACAGCCTATTTCAAACTAGCATGGTGAAGGCATGTTTGAACTAGTGAATTAGAGAATATTTAGAATTCATTAGAGTTTATTCCTTTTAAATTCACAAGTTACTTATTATTATATTTCTAAATAGACATTTTTCTGAGACAGCCTGAATTAGGAGATGAATTTAAAATCAGAAACATATTGTGCATATAATTATGTTGAATTGTGTGTGTGGGGTAGTTTCTTTTAAAACAATCCCCTAATTAGGTTAAACTGCCTGAGTCTTGTTTATAGTACTGATTTGCTTAGTAAGCACTTTATTGAGGGGGCAGTGTGCATGGGAGATTCAACTTTAACCAAACAACAGAATTCCAGATTTCAAATAGAAGTCCAAATAAATAACCTGAACCTTTAATAAGTGTTACTATTATATAGTCTTGGAATTCCAAATTAAATAGTAAAATTTATTTTTAAACAAATAAGAGACATAAAATATGTTAACTATAAATGTCAACAATTTGAAGTGTTCTTACAAGCTATATTTCACATTATGTAGCTAAACCCAAGATTAGACATTCCGTTTTATCTGTTGATACTTTTAGAAACTAGAGGAACTGAAGATGAGCTAAGCAGCTCTAAAGAATAATAAATGATGGTCATGTTTGATTGGCGAAACTATAGAACATGAAAAAATGGCATAATTTGGTTCCTAAAGATGTACAATTCTGTTTGTATGTGCATGAGCACATGCATGTATGTGCACACACTCAGTCGTGTCCAACTCTTTCCAACCCTGTGGACCCGTCAGACTCCTCTGTCCGTGGGATTCTTCAGGCAAGAATAATGGGCTGGTTACCATTTCCTCCTCTCGGGTATCTTCCCGACCCAGGGCTCGAACCCACATCTTTTGTATCTCCTGCACTGGCAAGCGGGTTCTTCACTAGCTGAGCCAGATTTACTGCTCTACAACTCTAGGATTATGAATTTAATAAACTAAGATGATGTCATTACAGCAAATTTATATATACTAGGTTATTTTAAAAGTTGCCTTTTAAGTTGGAATATTCCTTTATCTATTCATAATGTTTATTGAATGCTCATTTTATGCCAAACATATGTAATGAATAGAGTTACTAAAACATTCATAACTTTTGCTCCAGAAACTGTTCATTGACTTTAAGCTAAGGAGATAATCCAAAGGGAGTGTAAATATGTCTGTATAGAAAATTGATGTCATGGAATCCTGGAGTGGATGACCAACCTAAATCTCCAAAGGGGCCTTGGTTAAATAACTGATCGTTTTCTTGGTGGGATATTCATGTACTCAGGGAGTATTTAACATGAGGAAATCCTGACAGTCTTAAGCGGGTAGAGCAGGTGATTTCAGTTGTTTAGGTCTGGAGATCATTCTTGGTTGACTTTTGAGGAGAGAGGAGACAGGAGCTGGGAGTCCATATTAACTGTTGTCCTTGTGGTTACTTTGCAGTCAAATAAGGTGCCCGTGGTGCAGCCATCCCATGCGGTCCATCCTCTCACCCCTCTCATCACCTACAGCGACGAGCACTTTTCTCCAGGATCACACCCGTCACACATCCCATCAGATGTTAACTCCAAACAAGGTGAGCACCTCGCCACCCCGGCCTCTTTGGATGAGGAAGAGCCTCATCTCAGCAGTCTGAGCGCCCTCCCCGGCGACTCTGCCCATGTCATGATACATTTGTAGGAGATAAGAATAATTTATTTGATAGCAACTTTTTAATAAGCATACAAGAGTTTGTTACTGGCCTTTTCTTTTCCGGGATTAAAAAAAAAAAAAAAAACAGGAAAAATAGTGAAGGGTCATTTTCAAAGTGACAGCTCTGAAGAGCTATGATCACAATATAAACCAATATGTTGTGAAAATAATTCAGTCCTCAGCGCCCCCTGCCATATTCATTTATTTTAGCATGTACTATGTGTTGATAATAATGCTGAAAAAAAGTCAGAAAAGGGACAAAGTAGGAGGTGTTTTTCTTTGAATGTTATATTTTTGAGACTTGTGGTTTCCTTTGGTTTCAGTTATATTCCTGTTGTGTTTTCTTTTCTTTTTGTTGTTTCTCAACAAGAATTATATTTAAAGTTCAAAGGGTTCCCAGGTGGCGCTAGTGGTAAAGAATCCACCCGCCAATGCAGGAGACCTAAAAGACAGAGGTTTGATCCCTGGGTCAGGAAGATCCCCTGGAGGAGGGCATGTCAGCCCACTCCAGGATTCTTGTCTGAAGAATCCCATGGACAGAGGAGCCTGGCGGGCTACAGTCCATGGGGTCACAAAGAGTCAGACATGGCTGAAGCGACTTAATACACACACACACATAAAGTACAAAACCATATCTGTCTAAAGTCAAAACAGACTAAGTGTTGGTCACTCAGCTGTGTCCGACTCTTTGTTACCCCATGGACTATAGCCCACCAGACTCCTCTGTCCATAGAATTTTCCAGGCAAGGATACTGGAGTGGGTCTGCATTCAAAGCAACATGAATCTTATTTTGCTTCTCTACACTGTTACCAAGTTCTGCTTCTGTATCATTTACAGAGACACATGCATCATAAGAAGTCTCAAAAATGAAAATGCCTGTTTCTAACCTGAGGCATGAGGGTGTGGTTTGGTTGTCCACGGACACAAAGTGCAGGTTCTCGAGCCTCCTGGTCCCAGCATCCTAGAGCAGACCTTGAGAGAGGGACAGTTTGTTCACAGGGGAGCCCTTGCTCTCTTCGTGGACATACACACTTGGACCTCAGCAGGATCTTGAGATGTTCAAAATGAAAGATCCTGTAAAACCATGTGAAGGCAGAGAATGTAAAAGGGGTCAAACATGCCACCTCCAACACTTCTCCCTTTTGTCCAGCCCTATCTTTGATGGATCGTGAACAACCATATTTAGTAAGGGTGTAAAACAGCAGTGAAGTTCAGAGGTTGGGTGTTTTTCCCACCTCTGTAAACACTTTGATGTTAAATATATATCATCTTCATTTCCCACCTTAATTAAAAAGACAACTCTTGGACAACTCAGTAGGACTTTGCGTGCTTGGAGCCCCAGTACGTTTTCTTAGAGAAAGCAAGAATCATTGTGGCGGATGTTTCTGGGTTTGTCTCTGTTTTATTCTCATTTCCAGCCCTTTCTCTCCTCTACTTCCTTTTGTAAAGGACCTCCAAATAATCAGCAACTACAGAGGCAGATCTGTGAATATGTAGTGAGAAAGGAAACTTAAGACAAGCGTCTTACACAGAAAGCTGAGTTTGAGAGGGAATCTCGAGAATATGACCTTGGCTGAGGTCCCTTTGGGTTATCTGAAGGGAATGTGAGGTCTGCAATTTAAATGTGCAGGTCACAATCCCAGAGCAGGGTCTAAGCTAGAGATATATGTCTGGGGACCATAAAGATGCGGATGACAGTTAAAGATAGATATAAAAGCCCCAAACAGGCTATATCAAAAAGAATCCAAGAGTATGTTTTATTTAGTTTTAAATTAATTTATTTACATAACAATTACATAGTATTTACCTTTTACCAGTTCCTGTTCAGAGCACTTTGAAATGAACTTATTTAAAAGAATAACATAAAAAATTTTGAAAGAGTAACACATGATGGTTCAGTAGTTTTTCTCTCACAGATTCTAGGAATGTTTAGTTTTTAAAACAGACATTTTTCCAACTGGCTACCAATTACAATTGCATTTTCTCTTCTGTTTCCATATCTTACTGCTACCCTACCTTGCTTTACCTTAATAATTGTAATTTATCATTACTCCTCAAACCTTTTCTTTTAAACAGACTTTTTCAGAACTAGAGGAGGGACTAGTTGGCATGACTGGAAATCGTCTGCTTGAAGTTTCCTTGTAATATTTTGTGCTAAAAATTTGTGATTTTTGCATTCTACTCTATAACACTATTTGCATTTGTTTTACTATAAAAATCCTGTTTTTAATTACTTTTTTGTCACAGAGTTAATGTGTCCCATCACTATGTAGGTAGGGGGATATAAAACCTTGGTTTAGGAAGAATTAATTTACATGATCTTGAGTTTGTATCATTCCACCTGGGTACAATCATCACCAAGAAATAAGTATGAGGGAAAGAAGTCTAAAGCTTACTGGGTCTCTTGCCTTTATTCTTTTCACCTCTGCCGGCCTTTTGGTTCTATCACGTATAACTGGTTACAGCATGGTGGTACTAAGCTGCTGATTTCAAAGTTCCAGGGACACTGGTTAGCTTTATCCCCTGAAATTAAAAAAAAAAGAAAATCGTGTTCATACTCTCACTCTAGTTGGGCTTATTCAATAAATATAAACAGTTGGTCAGCAGAACCCATTCTTATTTGTAAGAAAATAACTTTAGGTTAATTTCCTGTTAGGAATCACACTAGTTTTTATGCATGAGTGTTGGGGTAATGGTGAGTGCAGATGTAGTTGTAAGAAGAAGAAGGGAAGCTGATATCCATCATTTTGTTCCACTCATTGTGTCTGATAAAAATGTTAAGAGGAAGAGCTTTTAGGAAATATTGCGTTTATGTACATGTTTATGTATTTGTATCCTTGTAAATAACAGCAAACACTCAACATAGCACTTAACAGGCATTTTTCTTTATTATATATGAATGCATTTACTTCTCAGAACCTCTGTTTCATTTTTATCCTGATTCTGCAGAATAATAATTAAATAACTTCCTCAAGAACATACAGTTAGTGAGTGGCAGAACTACTGTGTTCATGCAGTCTGACACCAGAATCATTTTAGCTGTATTTATAAAAGTTAAAAAAATTTAAGGATATACCGCATATAGCCTCCAGCATATGCTGTGCTTAGTCACTCAGTCGTGTCCAACTCTCTGTGACCCCATGGACTGTAGCTCTCCAGACTCCTCTGTCCATGGGGATTCTCCAGGTAAGAATACTGCAGTGGGGTTGCCATCCCTTTCTTCAGGGGATCTTCCCAACCCGGGTCTCCCCCACTGCAGGCAGATTCTTTACCATCTGAGCCACCAGGGAAGCCCATATAATAAGTGCTCAATAAAAGTCGTTAAATAAATGATGTGTCGCACAGGAGTTGGTAGAGAGGCACATACTTCTAGGAGTCTTTGGAAACTGGAAACAGGATCTTAAGACAACAGTGAGCTATTTAGAAAACACAGATCCACTTTCTTTTGCTCGTGTAATGACCTAAGCCGCATCAGGTGTGTACGTGCAAATGGCTTATAGTATTGACCAGCACGGGTAATGTGTCCATTTGTTTCACTTGTTCATTTGTTTAGTCACTCAGAATGATATTCAGAGCCTTCTCTGGGAGACAGCCATGGTTTGATACACAGATAAGGGACAAAATGGTCTCTTCTTTCCCAGCAGTGTATAAGCTCACATAGGAAATCATTTGCACAGACTCACTGTAAAACATAATGAAGAACATCTTAAGTACCATGTTAAAAGTACAAATAAAATGATGTAGATTCTAAGAAGAAAGATTTCTCACAGCAGCAAAAGTTAGAGAATATTTCATGAGAGAAAGTTATCTGAAATATGAGTATAATTTTAATAGAAACACTCAAATTAAATACCCAGCATAAAAATAAATAAATAAATACCCAGCATAGGAACTAGCATGTAGCAGGTGCTAAGTAAACAGTAGTTCCCTTGTTTGTTTTTAAGCAGTAAAATCAAATCCAAATATGAAAAAATTGTATTTTTTGTTCTGTCAAATTATTCCTACACCAGATCACACATGCACTGTTCTCAGTGTACTTAGAACATAGACTAGTGTGGAGAGCAAGGTGTCCAGCTCCTCTGCTTAGAGACATGTGACTGAAAGCACAGTCTCTGAGCTTTCTGCTTTCTTACTTCTTCTGCATCCCAGAGATAAGATCCCAGGACAAACCATATTTTTTAGGTGCGTAAACAGTCACTTCACCTCCCTAACAAAGGGGTTAAAGTAGACCATCCATACAGTTCAGCCTCTGATTATGATTTTCAAGTTCAAGTTTCCACAGAGTTTCCAGTGTTCTGTGTTGGTCAGGTTTTTCTTTTCAGGACTGAGCAACCCCCCTGCAGAATGAGAGCTTTGAGAATCTGGGGATGAGGGAGGCAGCAAGTTGGAGAAACTGCCCTATGATTCTGCTATGTCAAGAATCACTACTGCAGGCCCCCTGGTGCCCCTGCCTCCCCAGGCCCAAGTTAAAACAAATCCCAAGGGCTCCTCTGTGATCAAAAGAAGCAGTATTGACAGCTTTTTTATAAAGGGAGATTTTTATGGTAACTCTGCTAAAGTGAACTTCCAGCTTCCATAAAAACAGTTGCCAGGGGCTCTGCTTCAGTGAGAGAGAGTAGATCCACAGAACTGCCTTAGGTCCTATTGTAAGCAGTGCTTTTGGTGAATTGATGATATAAAGGAATTAAAAAAAAAACACTCATTAAATTTGAAAGTGATAAAGAGATCAAAAAAGAAGATTTTAGATCCCTTTTAAAAACAGCAAAACCTGAGATGATCTCATGTAAACTCTGTCGAAAGAGATTAAAGACCTTTCCCCTTCCTAGCTACTTTTTCTAAGAGTTGGAGAATAGTTTGTCCTAACTTCACAGGCAAACTAACATCAGCTTTGAAGACAACACTCCCTAACCCATCCCCATATGCTCAAGGCCTTCAGTATCTTTTAACATCCAGATGAGATTCACAGACATTTTGAATAGTAAAAAAGCAGAATACGTAAAGAACATCTGTATACTCACCTGATTTTGCATACTAGGCAATATAATTATAGCCACTGAATGTATATTCGGGTTGTTAAACCTGGGGATATAGGTTTATACATGATAATGCTATTTTAAAGCCAGATTAACTGTGTAAAGAAACTCATGTGGCTTTCTTCTGTTCAGAATCACTTTCCCCCAAATACGAATGTAATGTTTTGCATTTTTATGTATGCATCGTACCCCTTCTTTTTGGTACCCAAGGTAAGATGTAAACAGAGATGTCAAATGGGACTAGGATTAGGCATAATCTCTAGGTGGTTTTTACAGTTATAGGGTAGTGTACTCCAGGGAGTGTGAGCTCAAGAAACAATGTGGTGGCACACTCATTTTCTGTGGAATACAACTAATCCAGACCAGCTTGACCTCGGAGCCCAGAGGACTCAACCCGATGAAGAGCTTAGTTGGAGCTGCAGTGCCAGAGACCAGATGAATCATATCAAGTGCGACCATTATGGGGCTGAAGATTATTTCCAATTAATCTTTGATCCTCTGAGGTATCACATTTCCCAAATCTATGTGTCCATAAGGGAGCCAATGAAGATCTGAAAAGAGCAATTTACCTAATCCTTGAACACCATGGCAGGCCGTGCTGTCATTCTACACAAAAACAGTTGTCTACCATTTTCCTAAGCGAAATGAAATAATGAGGGCAAACTTAAGTAGTTTTATAGACTCATTTTGATGCCTGTTTTATTCAAAGTATATTTACTGTTTTAGGAGCCCCTCAAGGTGTACCACTGTCAGATGTGTTTTCTTAGATGCTGAAATTTTGAGTAAAGATAACAAACTGACTTTAGTTAGAAAAATAAATATTGTCTCATTCTACACCTTAAGTACTCATGACATAATGCATTTTCTTGCCTTTCTTATTTCTCTCAGAAATCGAATGTCCTGTGAATCTGCCTCTCCATTGTTCTTTTTAATAGGCATGTCCAGACATCCTCCAGCTCCCGAGATCCCTACGTTTTATCCCCTGTCTCCGGGTGGTGTTGGACAGATTACCCCACCTCTTGGCTGGTAAGATCCTTCTTGCAACCTGCAGCCAGGTGTCTGAACACATACTCTTCTACTCCCCATTTATGGAAATTAGCTTTATGAATAATAACACTTGTGGAGTTGAAGAAACTTCAACACACAAGGTGCTAACTTTATTTTATTTCAATTTAAAAGATTAAAAAACATACAGACTTTGAAATGGACTGAGTCCGTTTGCTAATATGTGTAGAAAATGACTGTGTAGCATTTGCTTTGAAGCTTATAGTTTTATGGATTCAATTTGTGGCTCTGGGCATTTGCTATGCCTGTACAAAGTGTTCACTGTGGTTTTTCTTTTCTAGTTCTTTATGAACAACTTATATTTTTGAAGCATAACCTTAGATATATTGAATATCGATCTTTGCTTATAAATGGGCAAGTGATGTAAATGACAAATAACTGTAACAAATACAAAAGCATCTTTGAATTTGAATAAAGTAAGCACCGGTTTGAGTTCAGAGGAGTGAGAAACTGACGAATGGACTTTATCCTTTCAGAATCCAAATGTTCTCTATTTTGTTGTTTCTTAGAGATCCATACCACTGTTTTCAGTTTTTTTTTAATTATAAAGGAAAAGAAATGTATTTAGGGGAGAAAGAATCACTTCATGCAGTGGAGCCTATTTTTATCATTTCATTGTTAGCACGCAGCTTTCCCTGCCCTCACTCCCATCCCTCTCTCCCCACTGCTCACTCCATGGACAAAGTGCTGCACCTTCAGCAAATGTTTTCTCTCCTTCCTTTACTGACTCTGTCCTTACAGACCCCTGGTGAAAGCCCCAGTTTCCCTCCCTCACATCCTTACCTTATCTCTTCTTCATAAGGAGGGCTTATCCTGCCATGGATATTCCAGCTTTCTCTCTTCTCTTTAGCATTAAATCTCTCAGTCAATAACTCTGTTTGAATTTAATTGATTATGCGAACACTTCCAAACCTACATCAATTATTCTCTCTGAACTTAGCTACTTAAGGGCAATAATCCTGGGCTGAGTTCCATCAGTGGCATCTGGAAATAAAGACTGTGTAAATGAAAAATGTGACATGTAGGAAAAACAGAGGGAGAGATGGAATTCTCAGAGCAGAGAGAAAATAACTCCAATGAATCGATCTTTTATTTCTTGCCTGCAGCATGGGTGTAAAGGTGGGAGGTGGGGTGTAGGGTTTTCAAAAATTTGTTCATTTTTATATAAACTTTTATTTCCTCCTTTCTTCCCTTCCCTGAAGTCTGAAAGATTCTGATAATCCATTTACCTAAATAGAATAGTTCACCGTTCTCAGGTTCTGTTATATCCAGCAAGAGCTGTTCAAAGCATCAGTGGGGCTGGAGAGGGGCAGGGTAGAAAACGAGTCATTCATGGCCTGCAGTGGGAGAGTTCCTTCAAGGCACCAGTGATGCCTTGGGTGGGTGGAGGGTGAGGAAGGGGAGCAGTTGGGTGCCTGAAGCAGTGCCCTCGTAACTCGCCCCAGATTCTGGTTGAGGGCCTCCGCTCATCAAACGCTTGTTGCTGGTTGGTAACTCATGTTTTGTCATTGATGGGTTCCTCTCTTCTGTGACCTCAGGCAAGGTCAGCCTGTGTATCCCATCACGGGAGGCTTCAGGCAGCCCTACCCGTCCTCACTGTCAGTCGACACTTCCATGTCCAGGTAGGTGGAGGTGGAACCGGCGCCAGGACAGGCTGCTCTCGCACGCTTGCGTCTCCCGCGCCTCTGCTTGCCTCTCGGCCCGGCGGGCGCACAGCTCAGCCCGCGTCTGTCTGCGCAGGCTGCCTGGCTCCCACACTAGGCGTCCTGGGGAGTCCCGGGCAGGAGCCAGACTCCATGCCCCACAGCACCAGCCACACCCGTCAGGCAGACGGACTCAGCACCCTGGAGACCTTACCTCCAAAAGACTTCACTGCCCCCCGACGGCGGGAGGAGAAATGTCCCCAGAGGGGACCTCAGAAGAAGAACTTGTCCAATTCAAAACATGCTGGGGGCGGGTCAGCGGGAGAATGCAGACTGGCTTTTCTTTTCCTGTGAGGAAAGTTGTCTGTTTCCTGTGACAGTGTCTGAAAAGGCCCAGCTGGCCCAGAGCCTTCCCGGACCAAGGCTGTGAGAAGAGAAGGAAGGGTGCTTACGGCTGTCAGGCCGCGCGGGGCGTGTGTCCTAGTGTGTGAATCAGGCCCTGTGTGGACACGGTGGGGCCGGCGAAGTCTGTGAGGTCTGCTGCCACACCGCTCTGTGTAACGCTTTGCCTCTGGAAAGGACGGCTTCTGTGCCCTGTGCTTGATGTACACACACATTTGTGGTGTATCATCTGTGTGTTCAATGTGGCTTTTTCAAGGGAGCTAGCAGTAACATGCTGGAAGTCAAACTGTTGGGCTAGTAACTGGTTGTTAATCTTAACTTTTTTATATACATATGAAATTTGCAGTTTTCTGTGGTGAATTTCAGCTTTTTCAGAAATCATTTTATTCAGTAAATTGTACACCTAACTGAGAGGGAATGACATTAATATCCTTCCTCCAAAATATATATATATATTTTTTTTTATTTTAACACTGTATAAGAATTGTGTGATGATAGGATTTTCTCATAGGCAAATAACCAGCATCACGTATTTTTGCAAATGGTCCATTTAGCAAAGCATCATGATTTGATCGAATGTTTGTATTTTTCCCATGCCTCCTTAATTTTTAAAGATTTGTTTCTGAAATATTACATATCCAAGCAGAGTCCCTTCTTTCCTTCCCAGAAGAAGGAATTAACTGTACAGATGGTGATGAAAGACCTGAGAATGTTTTTTGTTGAATAACATGTTTACTTTAAAACAGTTTGAAAGCAGAAATTTCTAAAGCATATCCAAATTTATCAAAGAGCTTGTTGAAAGTACTGTCTTTGTTTTATTTTTCTTGCATGGCAGTTTCCCTCCTTTGTGTTGGATGGTGGTGGATATTTTGAGTTTTTTTTAATGCTCTATAAGCATACTCTGGGAAAAAGCCTTTATTTGAGCTTGTGTAGTTTTTACCTTGAAGCAGAACTGTATCTGTCCCTTTAATTAAATTCTTCCCCTTAATTTTGTTATCAATTTTCCATGAGGCTGGATCTCTCAGACACTACCTTCTTTATGTGTAGAAAATTATTTTGGATGATCCTGATGGCAACTTTATTAAATTAGAGACTGAGCAAATCTTCCTGTCCCTTGTCTTGTCAGTTGCTCTCTCCCGATATTAGGGAAAAAGCCAACAGGAGAAGACTTAATATGAAGGTCCACTTAGGGATGTAGACAGAGATTTTAAAATATGATGTCTTTAGATTTTAAGGTCATTTTATAAAGCTAAATCTTAATAAAATATTGTATTTCCAGTAGTTACTGAAATTCTTCTCTGAAAACTGCTTTGCAAGAAAAGTGACTCACTTTTTTTTTTTTTTTAAATCCTATTGCCTAGAGCCCTCCCAGGAAAAATGCCAGATTCCACCATTAGCTTGAAAAAAAAAAATCTGTAAGGTGGTGTGTAATTATAAATGTTTTCCACCTGAATACAGAAGGGAAAGAAATTAATCATCAGCTTGCTCTTATAGTTAATATGTCTGTGTGTGAAGATGTGTTTTTACTCTCAGCCAATAGCAGTTACTGAGTTGTTTCAAAATTCTATCCAGCTCTTGCTACAGCAGTACATTTTGTTTTCTCGTCTTTCCTTCTTTTAGGTTTTCTCATCATATGATTCCCGGTCCTCCTGGCCCCCACACAACTGGCATCCCTCATCCAGCCATCGTAACGCCTCAGGTCAAACAGGAACACCCCCACGCTGACAGCGACCTAATGCACGTGTAAGTGCGTCTCTCTTCACCTGGGGACACCTTAGGGTACCAAGGCCTTAAACCCCACAGCTTCTCCTTTGCTGTTGTCGAATCTCACCCCTATCTGTTATCCTTAAAATCAGTGTAGCTCCGCCTTGAAAGCTCTGCCCCTGAGGACACCGAGCAGCTTGATTCTCAGTGCTCTGATTTGGTTCTGAGATTGAAAAGGAGCACGGATCTCAAAAGATGAAGGGAAACTCACTAAAGAGAAGTGATTTTCAGAGCAGAGAGACTGAAGAAATGGAGCTGTTTAGCCATTTAGTACAAGGCTTTAATTGGGTTCCTATTCTTGGGGAGCATGAGAGTAAAGTAGATTGGGGAGTTCAGTGCATTTCCTTCTAGAAATAGAGCCACCCTGCATCTGCATCAAGGCTTTGGAAGCACTGAATTGAAAGGAAGGGGACAAACCAAAACCCAGGATTTCCTGTTGGGCCAGGGTTGTTGCAGGCTGTTACAGCACAGCTGAATTCTCCCCAAAGACTAGTAATGAATTGAATTTCTTAATCTAGGGTTTGTGCTGGAACAGAAGGATGCAGTGGCAGGGAGCATGTGAACATCGTCCCTAAGACCCCTGCAAGTACAGGCAAATCCAGTGTGCATTTGTCTGGGGGAGAGAGTCTAAGATTTCATTAGGTTCTCAGAGGAGCGCTGGCCCACAGAAGTTAAGAACATCAGTTCTAGAGGAGGAATGACTACCTGCACTGTATGTGCAGCTTTTCCTAAGGTGACCAGGGAGCACCTAAAATCTAGATGCAGCATCTTCACAAGCTCATTTCTGTGTTGGGTTAAACCCTTCTATAGCTATAGGTAAGCTTTCTCAAACCAAAGGATCCTTATTTATCAACAGTAGATGAGTCACTCTTTTAAGTAGACAGTGTTCTGGGGGCTTATAGAGAGCCCAGAGGGTGGTCCCAGCCTGAGGTGGACTCATGATATAAGCAGATGCTCTGCTCCTCCCATCTCTTTCTGATTCGTCTAACCCCTTCCCCACTCCCACCTTTTAGGAAGCCTCAGCATGAACAGAGAAAGGAGCAGGAGCCAAAAAGACCTCACATTAAAAAGCCTCTGAATGCTTTTATGTTATACATGAAAGAAATGAGAGCGAACGTCGTAGCTGAGTGTACTCTAAAGGAAAGTGCAGCTATCAACCAGATTCTAGGCAGAAGGGTAAGTAGTGGGATGGCATGTAAATGTTTATGGTAAGTGGCACTGGTTCATTAAGAGCTGCCCAAATGCACTTACATATCAGGTAGTCATAGAATCATCTGTATAGTCACCAGTCACTTGGGGAGTAACAGAGAGAGCATGACAACCTTTAGGAGGAATGATATAATGCATTGTATCAACAAATGAGGTTGTATCTGGCACTTAGAACATTTCTTGTAAATGATAACTATTTTCCTATTATCATACTTTAAATGAGTGTATCTTCAGTGTCTTTTATGTGCCAGGCAGTGTAGTAGGCATTACATAATTGTTGCTGAGTAAAATAGATGTAGTCCTCGCCTTCGCAGATCTTGAAGTTTTGTGACAGGATACTGATAGGAAATAATTCCCCATTATATATATATAATTAAAATTGTGATAAATACTGTTAATATGAAGAGCAAGAATCAGAGAATAATGGAGAGGGGTGGGGCTAGGGGAATGGCCCCCTGATAAAGTAATTGAGAGATGAGTGGGGGTTAACCCTTGATGAAGGGGGTGAGGTCGACTCTCCCCACACGAAGCAGTGTGTGTGTCTGCAGACTCTGAAGCAAGAAAGCAGGGAGCTACAGCAAGGCCTGTGAGGCCAGCCACGTTTCTGGATAAACCCTGGCAGTCAGCAGTGGCTGCTCCTTCCAAGACTTAAAGCTTTACATGGAAGAATTAGTGTGGGCCGGAGAAGTCTTAATTCTAGAAGAATTGTTCTCTGATTCTCCAGGTGTACATGGGCCAGGTTTCTCGATTGCCCTCCTTTTCTGTTGATGTTGCTGCTTTAACCCATGCGGAGATATTTTTCTGAGCACCTGTCATGTCCCAGGCACTAGACTTATAACTAGGACAGACACTCTTAGATTTCTTTGTCTAGCCACCAGTCCAGAGACTAGTCAGTCCTTCCTGGTACTTTTCTCAGTGTTGAAATGGGTCTAGTTGGGTATCTGAAGTGTGGCAGAGAAAATTGGAATTTTTCTCATTGAAATTGCATTTTACTGTAATTACATTGAAGTTTTAGAAATGCTTCATCTTGTATGATGCTCTTCATTATGTGTGGTGACTTCTTAAAATATAACCTTGTGTATTTGGTTTTGCAAACTCAAGAAATTCATGGTTTGCAAATGAACATTCAGGAGAAGGAAGGTCTTGACAACCTTTGTGGGACTTAAAGGTCATGTTTTAGCTGTTGCTGATGATCATTTTCATCATGTTTGTTAAAAACCTCATACATTTCAGCATCCAAGACAGAAAACATTAGGAGATTTCCAGTCCATGTGAGGAAAGCAGATGGCAGACAGCAGGCGTTGTTGAATTATAGATTCCTGTTCGACGGCATAAAAATGCAGCTATTTCCAATCTTCAAGACACCAGGGTTTCAGGGGTAGGATGTGGTGGTAGATTATAGCTCTTTTGGTGCCCTGTGTGCAATACTCTATCTCCCTGTGGATTCTTAAACACTTAATAACAATAATTACAATGATTTTCAAAGCCAGGTCATACCAGATGAGTGATTTCCATCTTTATTTTTTCTTTTTGAATTTTCCCTGACCCTTCAAAAGAAGAAATTAGAGGAAAAGAAGGGTTCTTTTTTCAGCTTGTGTAAAACTCTTATTTTTTTTTTCTTTTCCCCAAGTTAAAGGTCCATGGTCCTCCAGTGGGAATTATTTTCCTGCTCAAGAGAGTTAATGATATGAAATGGATGTATGCTTCCTATTTTTAATGCACATTTCCAACAGTTGCTACTTTCTCAGCTCCCTTAACAATCCCCAGATCAGAGCATGTGTCCTAAAGGATGGTTCTCATTTGGGGTCTCTCTCTGTCTTTGATTTGGACACCTGTTTCTATTTATAGGTCTCTGAGATCTTTGATTAAGATCAGGTTTTCTATCCTTTCATAACTCCCCTCTGGCAGGATAGTTCTTGCTAGTTCTTTAAAGTTCCTAGTTTTAAAATCATGAAGTTTTACACTAGGATAATTAGAATTCTTAATAGTGGAACTGAAATTCATCCTGGAACATTTTATCTTTTGATTTTTACTCACCTTTACTTTATCTCTAACATAGAAATGTTCATTCATATGAATGACTCAGTTTTCTTCTTCATATTATAAGTAATAATAACATAAATATTATTTTAAGGTTTTTCTTTTCAGACCTTCTAGACTATTAAAGGAAGTCCACTTATTGCATATTTATTGTCAGAATTTCTAAATCTTGGAATTAACTGTGTTAAGTTTCTTCAAATGGGTATTTTCCCAACAACTTGATGAATCTTTCAGTAAGCAAAAGAGATGGAAAAACATTTTTAGTCAATATGTGTTTCAGAAATGCCTGTTAAAGATTGTCTTTCTAGCTTGCATCAGACTTTACTTTTGTTTTCAACGTAAAACTTTAATATCATAACTTTACTTAACTGTTTCACTCTGGTAAATGATGTTTCATTTGTGAGTTGAGTTTGTGAATTATAAATCTCTAGGAACTAAAAGCAGTTGAAAAGGCAGGTAAACAGTTTAGTTTGTGGTCTGCTTTTTAACTTTGACTTTTGCTTAGTTTTGTTAGCTGGGGTCTTGTCAACCTAGCTGGGGTCTTGTCAACCTAAGTTTCCTGCTGTAACTGAAAAATTCCTGCTTGTTTAACTGGTTGTTTGGGTAGAAGACCCAACCTCCATATGTATTTTGGGAGATAAGTCTTATTTACAATTCCAGATAAAATATATCTCTATACTGACATATTGCAGTAGTATGAGAGATTATTGATCAAATGAATGAACAAATTTACAAAGTAAGGCTTCTTATCTTTTCTTCCTCTTAGTCTGCTTTTCGTTCCTTTGTGATAATGCTTTGCCTCTTGCCAATCATGTTAGCATCAGACCTATCTAAATACTAATGATGAGTCTTTTTTTATTTTAAAGGTACACTGATCTCTTCCACTGTGCCTGGTGTGGCCTTTTCTCCCCGTGAAGGGCTCTAGGTCAGAACCTCAGATTTAGAAAAGCGGCTTCCCTGGTGGCTCAGCTGGTAAAGAATCTGCCTGCAGTGCGGGAGACCTGGGTTCGATCCCTGGGTTGGGAAGATCCCCTGGAGAAGGGAATGGCAACCCACTCCAGTATTCTGGCCTGGAGAATTCCATGGACTATAGAGTCCATGGGGTTGCAGAGCGCTGGACACGACTGAGTGACTCTTGCTTTCTCTCCCGTCAGTGGGCAGAGGCAGTGTGACTCCCCCTCTCTCCCGACAGTGGGCAGAGGCAGTGTGACTCCCCCTCACTCTCCCGTCAGTGGACAGAGGCAGTGTGACTCTCCCTCTCTGTCCTGTCAGTGGGCAGAGGCAGTGTGACTCTAGCTCACTCTCCCGTCAGTGGGCAGAGACAGTGTACTCTCCCTCACTCTCCCGTCAGTGGACAGAGGCATTGTGACTCTGGCTCACTCTCCCGGCAGTGGGCAGAGGCAGTGTGACTCTCCCTCTCTCTCCCGTCAGTGGGCAGAGGCAGTGTGACTCTCGCTCGCTCTCCCGTCAGTGGGCAGAGGCAGTGTGACTCCCCCCTCTCTCCGTCAGTGGGCAGAGGCAGTGTGACTCTAGCTCACTCTCCTGTCAGTGGGCAGAGACAGTGTACTCTCCCTCACTCTCCCGTCAGTGGACAGAGGCATTGTGACTCTGGCTCACTCTCCCGGCAGTGGGCAGAGGCAGTGTGACTCTAGCTCACTCTCCCGTCAGTGGGCAGAGACAGTGTACTCTCCCTCACTCTCCCGTCAGTGGACAGAGGCATTGTGACTCTGGCTCACTCTCCCGTCAGTGGGCAGAGGCAGTGTGACTCCCCCTCTCTCTCCGTCAGTGGGCAGAGGCAGTGTGACTCCCCCCTCTCTCCCCCGTCAGTGGGCAGAGGCAGTGTGACTCTTGCTCACTCTCCCGTCAGTGGGCAGAGGCAGTGTGACTCCCACTCGCTCTCCGTCAGTGGGCAGAGGCAGTGTGACTCCCCCCTCTCTCCCCCGTCAGTGGGCAGAGGCAGTGTGACTCCCACTCGCTCTCCGTCAGTGGGCAGAGGCAGTGTGACTCTGGCTCACTCTCCCGTCAGTGGGCAGAGGCAGTGTGACTCCCCCTCTCTCTCCGTCAGTGGGCAGAGGCAGTGTGACTCCCCCCTCTCTCCCCCGTCAGTGGGCAGAGGCAGTGTGACTCTTGCTCACTCTCCCGTCAGTGGGCAGAGGCAGTGTGACTCCCACTCGCTCTCCGTCAGTGGGCAGAGGCAGTGTGACTCCCCCCTCTCTCCCCCGTCAGTGGGCAGAGGCAGTGTGACTCCCACTCGCTCTCCGTCAGTGGGCAGAGGCAGTGTGACTCTGGCTCACTCTCCCGTCAGTGGGCAGAGGCAGTGTGACTCCCCCTCTCTCTCCGTCAGTGGGCAGAGGCAGTGTGACTCCCCCCTCTCTCCCCCGTCAGTGGGCAGAGGCAGTGTGACTCTTGCTCACTCTCCCGTCAGTGGGCAGAGGCAGTGTGACTCCCACTCGCTCTCCGTCAGTGGGCAGAGGCAGTGTGACTCCCCCCTCTCTCCCCCGTCAGTGGGCAGAGGCAGTGTGACTCCCACTCGCTCTCCGTCAGTGGGCAGAGGCAGTGTGACTCCCCCCTCTCTCTCCCGTCAGTGGGCAGAGGCAGTGTGACTCCCCCCTCTCTCCGTCAGTGGGCAGAGGCAGTGTGACTCCCCCTCTCTCTCCCGTCAGTGGGCAGAGGCAGTGTGACTCCCCCCTCTCTCCCCCGTCAGTGGGCAGAGGCAGTGTGACTCTTGCTCACTCTCCCGTCAGTGGGCAGAGGCAGTGTGACTCCCCCTCTCTCTCCCGTCAGTGGGCAGAGGCAGTGTGACTCTCGCTCGCTCTCCCGTCAGTGGGCAGAGGCAGTGTGACTCCCCCTCACTCTCCCGTCAGTGGGCAGAGGCAGTGTGACTCTCCCTCTCTCCCGTCAGTGGGCAGAGGCAGTGTGACTCCCAC